GTGTACCCCACCCCTTCTCTCCTGATGGCTTCCTCCAGATCTGATGGGAGCACCCAGGCGTGCAGCCCAGAATGCGGGGCCCAAGGGAGCCCTGCATCCCCAGCTACCCCTGCAGCAAATGAAAAAATACACAGACAGGAAATGTGCTTGTGATTCTGTCACTGGGATATGCAAATAAAATATATATGATAGACCTATCTGCCTAATATTCCTGCCAATTCATTCTCTGGGTGTGATTAAAATGAGCAATAAATTCCTCGTGAGTCTCAGTGGAGTGAGGATCTGGGAGTAGAGATGCGGGCTGCCATCAGCACGTCCCCCTTAGCTGAATATTCATCATGGAATAGCTCCCCATATTTTTGTTTTATCTGCCATCATGTGCACAGAGATGTATTTCCACCTCTCCGCTGTCTCTTAGTTAAGATGTGAAAATGGTCTAAGCTTTAAGTATTAAACCCTTCAGCTTGTGAAATCCTTCAAAGTGAGATCACAGGTTACCTTCTCTATGAAGCCTGCCCTGCTCATTCTGCCTGGAGGTGATCCATGCTTTCTTGGAACCCCCACAAGCTCTGTGTGGACCCCTCCGAAGGCACAAGTCAGCCTGTGGGTATCAGAGCTAAGAGTGCCTGTCTCTCCCCATCTTCCTCTCCTAATACCCAGCTCAGGAGACAGGAGCTGGGCTTCATCCACCTCTCGATCTTCTCAGGGAGCCTAGAAGGCTTCCACACACAGAGACTGCGGAGAGAACTAGGCAAATAAGCCATGAGAAACAAATAATTTAGGCCACTTAAAGTGACGGAGATTCTTAGATAAGTGACATAAAAGGCAGAATAAAATAAAAAATTAGGCTTATGGATAATTCTAAAATGGGAAAACCATCAAGAAATAATAAGTGAAAAAACACCGATTCCAAACATGGAACTAGGGTCATAACTCAGATACCTTCAGGACCAAGACAGAAATACAAATGCCTGACAGTTAAGCACATAACATGATAGGAAACAGACACCTGTGGCTGGAGAGTCCATACTACAACCTCTAAGGCATTACACTCACTTAAAAAAAAAAAACTCTGAACTGGCAAAATAAAATGTGGCTGCCAGTTTGAGACCTGTGGTTTGTACAGAAGGCTATCAACCAGGTTAAGAAAAAACAAAACAAAACACTTATATATAGATATGGTCCAGAAAAGGTAAATGTAGTATCATATGAGGAATGCTCTGATTCATATCTCAATAGCTGCTTATAATAGCCTGATTTTCAAAAGTCACATTTTATTTTACCTTCAGTTTTCTCACCTGTAAAAGGGGGGTGATAACTGTAAACAGACTATAGCCCACCAGTCTCTTCTATCCATGGGATTTTCCAGGCAAGAATACTGGAATGGGTTGCCATTTCATTCTCCAGGGGATCTTGCCTACTCAAGGATCAAACCCAGGTCTCCTGAATTGGCAAGTGGATTCTTTACTGCTGAGTCACCAGGGGAGCCCCCAAGGATAACAGTAGTAGATGCTAAAATGATTCAGGGTCCCAGTGTTTAATTTCCTAGGGGGGTCTTTGCCATACTTCAAATGGTTCTTTAATGGGCTTTTTGGTTTCCAGATAATAACCTCTTCTATAATACTGCCATTAAAAGCAATAAAATCTTAGCCAGAACCTACCTCAATTCTAAGCTTTTGATGCTCCAAATTGGGTTTTAAGCACAAGCTGTAAAAGGGGGGGGGGGGGAATAAGAGCTACCTCATAGCTTTGTTACAGCATTAGAAAAATTATATATTAGAGCACCTAGCAGAGTACCTAGATGCACTTGACAAATGGTACCTACTATTACTGTAAATAATTAAAAACATTAATAATAGTTATATATATGTAGTAGGGCTAAAATGCTTCTACCTGAGGTTCAGTTCAGTTGACATCTCTTTCAGGAAGCCTTCCTTGATCTGTTAGGCAGGATTAGAAGCTCACCGTGGGTTGCCACAGTCCCTGGGCTTCCCTGGGACTGATGACTCAGTGGTGTCACACTTAACTTGTCTGTTTCCTCACCAGACTGTGAGCTCCTTGAGGGGTTCACCCAGATATCTTTTTCCCACCAAGCCCTGAACCTGGCATACAGATGTCATTTATAAATATGCACCGACTTTAATTATCTTCATTTTATATTGTCCAGATTTTCCATAATGGGAAAGATGACTTTTATAATCACAAATTTTCTATAAAGAGTGCATATTTGACTATAGAGAGGTAGGTGAAGGTGGAAGAGGCTGAGCTGGATGGCAGGGAGATGCCGGATGGACAGAAGGGGAGGAAGGTAAGATCGGAGTGGTGGTGATCCGTGTCTAGACAAAGAGCCAGGACATGAGATCTCAGGCTGGAGCCTCAGCACCCTCCAGGCCTGAGTCATTATGTCACTGACATAGGGCCTGAACTCAAGAGCTGAGCAGCTGCTGCTTACTTCCTGGCAGAGGGTGACATAACCCAATCTAAAGCAGTATTTCCGCCCTGAAACTTCCTCACAGTTTTGAAGAGGTAGTTTTTTTGCAGCTTGGAGAAAAAAACCAGAGCAGAAAGAATGGGTGACCATGGAGATGCTGGGCAACTGAGAGAAAGACAATGCTGCTGATGTCCAGGGAGAGCTGAGGGTGGTTCACATGGGTAGAATCTGAGGCGACCCCAGAGCAATCAGGTGGAGGTGCTCAGTAGACAGCTGAATATTACAGAAGAGGAAATCCAGCCTGTGTAAAGGGATCAAGTGCAGAGAGGTGATGACAGAGAAACAGTCTTCATGTTGAGAGGTGACAAAACCCCTGGCTGACTCTGAGTGGTCTTCTAGCCTCAAAAGGCAGCCCCTGACCTGGGTCACAGCTCTGTGAGGTGTCTCCTTCTGGCAGCAGTCACCCATTAAGCCTGGTTCTGTCCTAGCCCTGGCACTGAATCCATTTCCTCTCCTCCCCTCCTCCTCACAGCCGTCTCTGTGCCCACGCGCAGTCTCTCCTTTCCCGGCCAGATGCCCCACTGCCTTCAGCCTTTTCTCACAGCACAGTTTTGCTTGCCTCCTTGCTGCCCACCTCTGCACAGATTCTGAGAGCTCAGTCTACTCAGAAGGTAGCCCTCTGTGGTCTAGAAGAATCTGACTAGCACAGAGGCAGCAACTGCCATTTACTCACTTGGGACACTGACTTTGTATTGATGTGGCTGACATCAAGACATTTCCTGGGCAGCCAAGTTTCGTTAGGGTCCCTCAGGAGGCCTAACCTTTCCATCCCTGCTGATACAAAGAGGTCTGTTCTCCTGCTTTACATGACCAGACCTGTGCTGGCCCTATGTCACACTACCTAACAAAACAGGAGTAATTTTGGCCAAGGACAGCGCTGGCTCTCAGGGGACAGTGGCTTGGCCTGAAAGGCGAGAGAGTCGGGGATGCAGTCCCTGAGTGATGTGCAACAGTGCTCAGGGATTTCCTCAGAGAATGGGGGAAGCTGATGCAACTCTAGGGCAGGAACATGGGATTAGCTGTGTCCAGTAAGTTGTGAGTGAAGTAAAGGATCCTACTTCCAGGCTGAGCATGTAGCTGCAGGTGGGAGGCCCTCTAGAGTGCTCTCTTCCAGAGGGCAGCTGTTCTGCCAGTGAGGTCCCTCAGCATCACGGATGAGCAGAGCCCGCCTCTGCTGACCCATGATGGATGACAGACGTGTAGAATGAGGTAAAAATGAATCTTTGTTGTTTTAAGCCACTGAAATTTTGGGTTGTTACAACAGCATGACTTAAGTTTATCTGGATTGCTAAACAGACTAGTGGCAGATTGAATGGAACCATAGAAACCATTTAATCACAGTGTTTTCCTTTCACAGAGGTAAACGGAGCTTCAAGAGCGGAAGCCCTTGCCCAAGGTCACATAGTCAGTGAGGCGGTGGGATCACAACCCCAGCTGAGTGCTCAGTCAGGTGACCTAACCTAAATGCTCTTACTCAAGACATAGACTATCTGCCACTAGGTGGGACCTGCCACTCTTAATCATCTCAAAGTACTGCAGCCAACTTCCCAGAGAGAGGTTCCATGAAGCTGGAAAAAACCCAAGACTGAGAGTCAGAAACCAAGCCTTCCAGTTCCTGTCCTGCCAGGGAACCCACCACATGATCTTGTGTCCAAGTCTCAGTAACAGTTTTGATGCTAACTCACTCTGGGACCAAAGGCAAGTCACAACACACCCCTGGGCTCCAGTTTCCCCAGGAAGAAAAGAAATCATTTGATCGAGGTTTCAGAGATTTAAAATGTGTGTCCCACAGCATAGCCTCCATGGAGGCTACCCAGGGGGGAAGGATAGGCTCTCCTTCAAACAGAACAGCTCTATTTTCCTCTGACTTCTTTATTTTACTTTGATAAGATTTCCCATCACTGGACTTGATGGGTTCTCAGGTCCCTGTCAGCTTCGACATTTGTGATTCTAGTTCTTAGATTCTGCCAAGTACTTTCTAAGTTATAACTGGGTGGCTGAGAAGAGCAGAAGGCAGCCTGTTTTTAGAAGGTTCAAAAGCCTGGATGAGAGGATCAAATTAAGATGAAGATTGTTTTGCCCCATACTCTACATAAGGATCTCTGGAGTGTAAATGGAGGGAAGGAGCCAAGAAAAAGTTCTAGAAGGAGAGATGATGGAAAAGAGTTACTTGATGATGCTGCAAAGTGCATGAGACCTGAGGAAATAGTACTGAGGCGAAGATTTTGTCCTGCTATCCCCTCTTCATGGAAGGAGCTGAAAGGCTCACTACCTGAGAAACTGAATTTAAAAGTCAGTCCTCAGAACCCAGAAGTGGCTCAGGCTTCTTCTTGGTCAGGAAAGGGGATGCCTCCTATAATTGATAAGTGGAGGCTGGATTTGTATTTAAATAGACAATAATCCTCTAAGGAGAAGTGGCCTTTGGTGTAGAGTCTGACATAATTTAATGAGTGAAAGATGAAATGAAGCATGGAGTGCCCTCAGGCCTTCTCCTTTCTTTGAGACTTACCTTAGTCTCAGAAGTCCTTAAAAGCTTCATCACCTCCCCTTCTCGAGCATAATCCAAGGGTGTGTGTCCCATTTCATTCCTCTGCAAGGGGTTGGCTCCTGACAGGAGGAGAAGAAGAAAAAGAGCCTCTATGAGTGATCAGTGGACCCTCAGCCTTCCCTGGAGGTGGTATAGGCCTTGACTTCAGTGTAAGGAATGCTCACAGAAATATGGAGCAACAAAACCTAAGAGATTGAAACATGTCAAGCTACTCTGAGAGAGGAGCTCTCGGTCCTCTCTGACACAGAAGTAAGGGTATTGAGGCTCCTACATGTGCATGCACATGTGCCACATAGAGAGGTGCCACACACACAGATGTGCTATGCCCACATAGAGAGGTGCCACACACACAGATGTGCTATACACACACATAGGTGTACTGTGCCTACAAAAATATACACAGCTGAACATGCTAACAAATATACCAATACACATACAGATTAATATACCCCAACTCCAATGCATTCTTCATTAAAATGTCTGCATTATCAAATTTGTTTCTACACAGATGAATATTCATTCATAAAAATCATATAGAAATCTAAAGCACAGAGTATCCCAGGTAATGACAAGGCCCCTTCCTTCTGCTCTCTGCCTCTCCCTCTGCTTAATGCTCTCTCTTCCCTGCTCACTTCCTGCCTGCTAAAGTCAGCTGAGCTCTGGCCATCACCAGCAACCCAGCTGTGCCAGCCCTCACCTGTGCTACTTGCGTGTGCACCCAGGCAGGCATCTCCTCCAATCATTGGTTCCCATGATTCGAAGACAAAGAACTTTAAGTATAACAAAAAGAAGAGGCTTGCTTGGGGCCACGCATCTACCTTCTCTCACTTATAAGTGCCGGCAGATGAGCCTGTGTAAAGTGTCTGCTTGGTGTAGAGCCTTGACAGTCATGGAAGATAGGTTATTTTAACCCCCACACTGTCAGAATCTCCTCCCCAAAGCCCAGATCTGGGCACCTCACTCTCCTCTTCGAAAACTGACCATTCCATTCAATCTGTCCAACCTTGAATGAGCTGGGACTCAGGACATGGAAGAATCAGATCTGGTCCTGCCCCAAAGCACTCCTCTCAAGAACTATGTGTTAAACGGAACATTAAAGTAACAGACAAACCAATACTCTTTGACCTTTATTGCTAAGGAAGTGCGTTGTCTATACTTAAAGAAGGGTTAAGACACAGTCCCTGCCATGAGGAGGTAGTAAGTTGGCCAGGGACACTAAACACACAGGAAAGGCTGCGTCATCATGAGGCCCGGCTCAGAGGGGATATTCAGTCACTGTTTGCTGATGGACAGCAAAAATCAGTATTTCTCACCCAGGCTGAGGCAACCTTCATATCATGATATAAAACCATTCCTATTGAAACTCTCTGCTTCTTAAGGACTATAAACTCATCAACAATGGTAATCATTTATTAAGCATTTACACATGGCTGTCTGCCGCGGCTGCAGAGGAAGAAGTATGGGAGGAGGGGAAAGGAGCAGAGAGCATAAAGCACGATCCAGACCAAGGAAGCTTATTATCAATAAAAAAAATTAATACTTTTTTACATGATTCTATTTTCTAATAGGAAGACAGTACAAAATAAAATATTGAGATAATTTTTAATCACAATTCACATACCTTTCAAGGTACACAATTCAGTAGTTTTAAATACACTTTCATCATCATATAAGCCTCACCAGTATCTAATTCCAGATCATTTTAATTATCTTGAAAAGAAACCCCATCACCATTATCAGAGACATTCACCACTTCCCCTAATCCCAGAAATAATTAGTCTGCTTTCTGTCCCTATATTTGCCTACACTTGACATTTCACATAAATGGTATCATACAGTGTGTGGTCTTTTGCATCTGGCTTAATTTACCATGTTTTCAAGGTTCATCCATGATGTAGCACATGTCATTCATGCTACAACATGAATGTAGGAATATAGCATGTACTTCATTCTTTTATGGCTGAGTAACACCGCATTCTATGGACATACCCTATTTTGTTATTCATCAAGCTCATGAACATTTGAATTGCTTTCCCCTTTCGGCTATTATGAATATGTTGCTATGAATATTTGTGTACAAGTCTGAGTGGATGTATTTTTCTATGTCTCTCGGGTATGTATCTAGAAGTGGTGATAATGATAACAACAGCCACTAGTGTTTACTATGTACTCTGTATTTTATATATACTATCAACCATACTGAGGGGTAGAAATTAAAATTCCCATGCTATAGACGTGGAAACTGGGCTCAAAGGAGATAATTAGCCCAAGGTCACAAAGTTGGTGATTTGCTTGGACCAGGAGTCAAACCTACTCCAGGTTTTCTTAACTACAATTCTTCACACTCCCACCAGGGCAGCCAAAATACACCCCTGGTGAAAAATCATTCCATGGTTTTCACTGCTTATAGGATAAAATGCAACCTCCCTAATGAGGAGAGTGTCTGGGTTCTTCCTAACTAGTAGGCAAGTCCTCAAAGCTCAGCTGGAGCCTCATTCTTTCTTTCAATTCCGTTGGTGCTTGCTTACTGGGCACTGTGTATCAGGGCCCTGTACCGTAGGGAGATGGGAGACTGCCAAAGCCAATGAATAGGTTTTTTTTTTGTTTTTTTTTTTTTTAAACACTTCTTGACCACTCTGCAGCAACTGATACCTTGGCCACTCTCTTCTTTGAGTTATAAAAACCACTTTTCAGGCTTTCCTCACACCCCTGAGACCATTCCTTCTCTGTCTCTTCTGCAGGCTCCTGGTCCCATCTTTTAGATTAGGTGCTATCTACAGTCTAGGCACAATTCCAGCTCTCCAGAAGCTAAAAGGGACGAGAGACGACCATGCAACAACAACTCAGGTCAAGTGTGATCAGTGTGCTGAAGGAGGGACAGCAGGTCTGTAGAGAGAGGTGTAAGAAGACCACAGTGCTAAGGGGCTTGTTCACCTGACCCAGTCTTCCCAGCCAGCCCTGTTCTGTCTGGCGCTCAGCACTGAAGGCTTGAGAGGCAGAGGCAGACAGCATCGTCCCTTTCTTCAAAGCTCCTGGACCACAGCTAGGGCTGAAAGAGAGCTACAATCACTCGGTGGAAAGGCCTCTCCTCCCTGAGGCAGTCTCAAGGGGAGCTCTGTCACTGAATATGGGCTAGAGTGGCAGGGGGGGTGTGGGAGAGACCTCTGGAAGGGAAAGAAAAGAAGAGCAAAGAGAAAAAGAGAACTGGGTAAGAGAGAAAAAATAGGAGACAGAAGGGGAGGGGGAGAGGAAGAGAGGAAGACAGTGGAAGAAAGAACAGAGGGTGAGATTAGTTGCTTCAAACAAGTGCTGTCAGTGATCTATATTTGCTTACAGAATGAAAAATGTGTGCCATAAACATTGGCCACTGAGTAATTTCTAGTAGGAGTTGTGTCACTTCTCATAAATGATGGGATGGGACAGGTAGGACATTTCTTCACCTGGGCCAGCTAGCACAGGGACGCGTTTAAAGCAGTGCTGGGTCTGTCTCCAGTCCAAGAGCTCTCACCCAGGTTCACCCCAGCTGCCCCGAGGAGGGAAGCCAGCTAGCCTCCCCAAGGTTCTGGAGCCTCGGGTCAGCACATCTGCTCCCAGTTTAGGAAAGCTGAGGCTGGGGCACCATGGGTAATGTCCATCTAATATTAGTCCCTCAGCCCCCGAACCCTTGCTCTGATGCTCTGACTTGACTAATTGCTGTAATAATTGATAGAACCTGACTTCTACAACTGATCGATTTCACCTCCATGACCAACGGCCACAAACCATTACACTCCAATAAATAACCATGTTGGGCCTCACCCGCCTGCCCTCTCCAGGGGCATCAGGATGGCCCATGCCCTGGTCTGACCTCACCATGCCTCCCACCCAGGGCCCCTCCGGGCCAAGCAGCTGGTCTAGAGGGTCAGGCTTCTGGGAGTAAGTCAGAGGGCTGGGCGGAGGTGGGAAGAGCTAATCGCAGGCCATCCGTCACCTCCCACTGGCTGTCTGGGGCTGGGGCCAACACCTGGAACACCCCAGGCAGTATAGTGCAGGACTCCTCCCCTGCTCCAGATTAGTGTGTCCCAGCTTATAATATTTGATAAATAGCAGACTGGCTTCCTGGAAGCACTGCTGCGGCTGCGCCTGCCCGCTACAGCTGTGGAAGGTCACTCATTGGGGAAATATGTTTCTGTCAGTGGTATTGAAAAAAGTTTAGTGGAGTGACAGGCCTCAATTTTTCAAATTTTATTAACTCCATCCTCTTAACCATTTGTCTTGAATTCCTTCAGATTCTGGGGGATCTGTCAATAGGGCTCGGGCCAGGAAAGTAGGATGGGGGTGGATGGTCATGGACAGGTCCTGGCTGGTGCCAGTGACAGGCTGGGGTCTCAACAGCCAGGGCAGGGTGAGGCAGTGGCACTGGTGTTGACGGGAGAGAGGGCCTGGCCCACGGGGACCCAGGGAGCCTGCTACTCGTCTCTGATACACCACCTGCCTTAGGTTTGACAGCCTTATAGGCTTTCTGAGGTGAAAAAGAGAACTTAACGGTGAGTTCTTCCAATTCCCTAAGAAGAGACCCGCCTTGACTACATTCAGAACAGGTGGGTCACCCTGGCTTCCTCAAGCATGTCCAGAGCCCCGTCCCAAGCTCATGGCCTGCCAAGGGGTTTCCCGCAATAAACTGAGGGCAGATTCTTTTTGCATGAGCCCCAACCTCTCTCTCTAACCCCACTCTCACCTGTACTTCCTATAAACACCCATCTTTTAAGACTCAGTTCAGGCTTCTTCTCCAGGAAACCTTCCTTATTTCCCTCTCACCCCAGATTTGGTGCGATCCTTTGTGCTCCATGAGCCTTTCTGCTTCTTTCTTACTACACTGATCACTATGTTATAAGTCTGTCTCCATACAAGACTGAGAACTCTCAGAAATCAGGGTCAATGGCTGATCCACTGCTATATTCTGACTACCTAGCACAGGGGCCAGCACAGAACACATGTTCAGTAGGATTTACCAAATGAATGGACTTCTTTCCAGGTGTTATCTTCCAGAGCCACACACAACATGGCCATTCTTCCTGCC